AACAAGTACGAGGTGAAGTTCTGCCTGGACAGCACGGGGGCCGAGCTGAAGCAGAAGATCCACTCGCTCACAGGTCTGTGGGGCGGCCGCCGCCTCCCCGCCGCTGCCCGCGCTGCCCGGGCTCTCCTAACCCCTCTTCTTGCCTTTAGGCCTCCCCCCTGCCATGCAGAAAGTCATGTTCAAGGGACTGCTACCAGAGGAGAAAACCTTGCGGGAAATCAAAGTGACAAACGGAGCGAAAATCATGGTGGTTGGCTCTACTATCAACGATGTTTTAGCAGTGAATACGCCCAAAGAAGCTGCTCAACAGGAGGTCAAAGCTGAAGAAAATAAAAAGGAGCCGCTCTGCAGACAAAAGGTTATTAATGTCTCAATTCCTGGCGTGGGGGAGCTGGAGGATTTACACACTTCTCTTGTAATATTGAATATTGACTGCTTCTCTGCAGTCACCGTTGGGTCCGTCCCTCCCCGAAGCAGGCTGGGTTCCTCTGTTCACAGCGCAGTGGTAGAAGAAGGGCTCTGTGCAGAGCAGTTCTAGTGACAGAACGTTGAGCCTGGCAAAGGCTGGGGCTTTGCAGGACACCGCTTGTGCTGGTGCCTGGCACAGCCCCGTGTTTCAGGCAGGAAATGGTAAATAATAGAAATACTTCGTGGTTGTTAGGTCAGAGGCAGTCTAGATTAATTTTGTCTAAAAACTAGATAATTTTTATTGGCATAAAAGAATTTGATCTCCAAAAACTGCCTTTAAAGTGAACAGCAAGGGAGCAGTTCCTTCAGCTGTCCCAGCACTGAAGGGAACAGGGATGCTGAATATTCCTGTCGCACGCTGAAGTGCTGCCTCTGAGGAGGGAGTGAAGTGCAGAGGTTTGGTTCGGTGGCAGTGCTGCACTGCTGTGGGCTCCTAAAGGATCTGCAGCTGAAGGTATTACCAGCCATGCACCTTCCTCAAAATAAACTTGATTAAAAATTAAATGGCACCCCATTGAACCGCAGCCTTTATGAAACGTGCTTTTGTTTCTCTATAATTTGTCATAGTTCACGTTCACTGTAAGTTCCATCATTGTTTAAAGGTACTCAGCAACCAACAAGCTGTGAGCATGGTTTTCCTAGTTACTACTGCTCTAACCTGCCCTGGTGCGCTGCTGTGTCGCGGGATGGCCCTTAGTGCCATGATATAGTAATTGGAGTTGGATCAGGGGTTGGACTTGATGATCTTGGAGGTCTTTTCCAACCCAAACTATTCTATGATGTTGCACTGTCAGGTGTGGAGGGTTTTCTGCTGTTCACTGGATGTGACACTCGACCGTTAAACTGTCCTGCCAGATGCCGATGACGTGGTCCAGCATGTACCATATTAAAGTGGGACCCAGGGCTTCTTTAATTTTTTTAGCTGTATATTTTTATGTGTATTCTAGAAGGGATGTGACCCTTTGCATTATATTGGGGTTTTATTCATTTGTATAATTTCTTTAGATTGTCACAGAACCTGCTCGGTTAACTTTGAAAATAAACCGTTTCCTGTGTGACAAGTGACTGTGAATAGTCCTTAACTGTCTCTTAGTGCTGTTGGGAAGTAAATTGAAAAGCTGTGTTGTGATTCTGTAAATTCTAATTCCTGTTTTTCTGTTGTAGCAACACAGAAAAGTATTGGATAAAGGAAAACCTGATGATGTAATGCCTTCTGTTAAAGGTGTTCAGGTAAGTAAACACGTACAAGAGACATTGTCATAATCAGAAGAGAGAGACTTTTTTGTGGTTTGAGACTTTTCTATGCTGGTTCAATTGTTCTTTGCTATCTTGGCAGAAAACTGGAAAGATGGATCATCTTTGTGCTTAAAAAGTTAAGAGGATATTGCTTTTCCTGTTAAAGTCCTGCTCTGTGGCTTACTGTGTTGCCTCTTTGTAGGAGCGCCTGCCAACAGTGCCATTATCTGGCATGTACAACAAGTCAGGGGGGAAAGTAAGATTGACCTTTAAACTTGAGCAAGACCAGCTCTGGATTGGTACAAAAGGTGAGCAACTCTAAAACTCTGAGGTGAATAATTGATAATTGGGCTACAAGTGAATTGTGTGACCTAGAAATAGCTTTTGGTGTGACTAAATTGTGTTTAGGGAATAATGTTGGTGTTCTGATACTTCAAAGCTAAGTTTTGCTTCCCCTTCTCAAATGCCATTCTCCCAGATCATTCAATATGACTTGATACTTTACTTCTGTTCTTGAAAAACTTGAGTTCAGCTGTGCCAGTAGATTAGTGTTCCAGTCTCATATTCATAGCTCCAGATGCAAATAATAATATTTGGCATTTCTGACATATCTCAAAAGCACTTCATAAACATTGGTTTGATGCCAGCATCACACAGAGGCTCAGTGGCTTGGCTGAGACTCGAAAGGGAATCTTAGAACCGGGATTAAAAGTAGGAGTGCTGGCATCTCGGTCATTATCTGTCCTTCCAACCAAAATTAGTTGGGTGTCTTGTTTCAGTGATGCACAACTGCAGGAACTGTGGCATGTGTTGCTGTGCAGAGGAATCAGTTTACTGTCTTGGGTGGTACCAGGAGGAGCTGAAAGTGCTGTGGTGATAACGTGCGTTGCTGAGGCCGTCTCAGATAACCCCCTGCCTCCAGAGGAAGCTGTGCTCCTTTGGTTTGACCAGGATGGGGCAATATTAGAGTGATGAGCAAGGGGAATAGGAGTGCTTGCTCGCTGTCCCAGTAAAGTAACCCAGTTGAATAGGAATTAGCTTTGGATGGCACCTCCACCTGCTATGTTATTTCCAAAGTAAGCAGAAACCTCAAGTTTTTAGCCTTTCCTTTGTAGGACAGACTTGACTGTGAAGATTTTTCTGGCTTTAGAACTTCTTCCAGTACCAGGTGCAGTGATTTTTCTCCTGGGCTAAGTGATGGAGCGAGACATTGAGGTTTTCTTCCTCTATAGGTTGGGCAGGCAGATCATTTCATTACTGGTAATGTGTTAAATGCATTAATCCTCTTCCTTCACCTTCTAGACAAGTTTCAAATTTAGTATTTCTGAAGTGTTCCCGATTAGTGTTTCGTAAGCTGTGGAATTTGATTCTTCTTGTAGTCATCTGTCTTTGATGTAACCTGTTTCCCCGCTTCCCCAAATTAGCAGCAGCTTGTGTCCTCTGGGGAATGGTTGTAATTGCTGGCTGTTGTTGGGAAAAACTCCTTCCTGCTCTGAGAAACTCACAGTGGATGCCGGCACATAAGGACTAGACTCAAACCAGCTGGGTGTTAACACAGGTTTTCACGTGCTAGTCCTGGAAAGTTGAAACTGGTTCTTCCCCAACACGGCCTCCCCGTGCTTCACATACCGCTTTGTGCGGTTTTGTGGTCTAAGGTTTGGAACAGGTAGATGTTTCTCGGTTGCTTCGTGTCTTTTTCATAGAGGAACTGATGGTGTGGAGTTGTCTGTTGTTGAGATATTGTGAAGAGTAACTGATTTGCAGGATGCTAAACGTGTGAAAAGTAAGATGTTACTCAATGAATGTTGTGAGTCTGACTGGGGTAGTTTGGAGTCAGCTTAGTTACAGCACTGAGGCAGAGAATATTCATCTTCACATGACCTCGTTTGTCTCCTTGTTTGCCTTTTTTAGCTAGGTGCTTTTTTTCTGGATCACACAAATCAGATGTATCTAAGGAACTTCTGTTTCTCCTTTGTAGAGTGTTTGTGGTTTTCTCTGTCTTATATCCAAGAAGATAATTTTAGGCTGATACTAAAAGCTGGAACTGAAAGGAAGGATCTTGGAGTTAAGTCTTCAGAAAGAAGTGAGGACAGAACTGAGATAGAAAAAGTCTGCCATGACCCATATACTTTGTCATTCTGTTGGTTACCTCTGGCTGGCTGACCTTACTCTGTCATGTAATTGTAGTC